TCTCTCTCTCTCTCTCTCTCTCTCTCTCTCTCTCTCTCTCTCTCTCTCTCATACACTTACATTCCATTCCCCAATATCACGACACCATTTTACACCCATTTCTCCGTGTGGTTAATTTTTTTTTTTTTTTAGTTCTCATTTTTTTTCTAAGAAAAAAGCAACAAGAAAATAATTCAGAGTTTATACAAAACATCTTTACATTATTTTTTCCAAAAGACTAGTATTTACACAAATGGCAACAGAAACAAAAACAAAAACCCTTCTGACTGCCACCTGGAAGGGGGTGGCTGTTCTGCTCCCTCTCCCACCTGGCACTGGGGTGGGCAGCTGGCCAAGAGGCCATGTGGAGGTGGATGGTATAAGGCCCAGCTCCTTCCACAGCCGATCTGGGAGTGCCTGCAAGGCACAGTCAAGTTCAGTCTGTTAGCAGCCGTGCTGGCAAGGAGCCGGGGTCAAAGTGCACGGTGGGCTGGCCCAGCCCCTGGCAGTCTCTTCCTCTTCCCAGGCCCCAGCCCAAGATTGGGATGCCAATAGGAGCTGGGTGGATGGCAGGCACCCACCTGTGCTAAAGCCCAGACAAGGAGCAGGCCACCTGGCCTTATACCCACCTGGGCCTCCACCTGGGCCTCTGTTTCCCCATCAGGCTAAAGGATACCAAAGGTGAGGAGAGAACAGGGTGTGTGTGTGGGGGGGTAACTCCCAGCTTACTGCCCTCCACCCCCCATGAGGTCATCTGCCTGCAGCAGCTCTCCTGTTCCCCAGGCAACGGCCAATTAAGACGTTAATTACCGTGAGAGTGAGGGAGGCAGGAGATGCCCAAGAATCCCACAAGAAAGGGATTTTTTTTTTTTGGTGGAAGGGTGGCAGCTACTACCCCACTGCCAGGATTAGCTTTGTAGAAGGAAGGTCAAGAGGGGAGGGTGGGATACCTTGCCCAAATGGCACTCTCCACTTCCCTCATGGGCAAGAACAGCCCTGGCCTGCCCACCCCTCCCAGAAATGCTGAGGAGTCTATAAAATAAATGCATTCTATGCTTCCTGGCCACATCCTGCCCCAGTCCTAGCCCCAGCCCCAGGCCCTCTTATACTCTTACATGGGCTGGCCAGGCTCAGAAAGCCTGGAGAGAGGCTGCCTTTTACATTTTTCTTCAAAAAACAGATGAAAATGAGTTGACAGCTAAAAAATGAACACAAAAGTATTAAAAACAGTGATGATAGTAGACAAGCAGTCCTGGGAAGAGGGCACAGGGACAAGGGTGGGGGCAAGGCCAGAAGGCTATCTCCCTGCCTGCTGTCCATCAGCATCCAACCCTGCCCACCAAGAAGGGGTGCCCCCACAGAGCCCAGAGGCCTGGTCAGAGGGGGAAGGCACAAGAGCATGGGGGTTAGGGGCACAAGCACCCCCCTCCAAAGCCCAGGGAGCAGGAAAAAAAGGGGGATTATAAAAGCCAAGAAACTACAAAACTAAATACAAAGGTGGGCACAGCTGGCAAGGGGAGAGGGTGTGGAGGAGAAAGGAGAGGTGTGGTCCAGGCCGTCTGTCCTCCAGGGCCTGAGGCCGCACCGGGCACTCAGACCTTGTAGTAGATGTTCGCCGGGCTCTGGGGTGGCATCTCCTGGACGATGTAGACGGGATGCCCATAGTCCCCACTCACCTTCTCATAGTGGGGGCAGTAGTTGTTCTCTGTAGTCCGTAAGGGGATGATGATATCACTGGGCTCGGTGCCCGCAGTGCCACTGCCCCCCTTGGGACTGGCCAGTGTACTGAGCGAAAGGGCAGCTGCCCGCTGCTGCGTGTGCTTACGGTGCCGTTTGCGCAGCTTTAGTAGCAGAACCGTCAGGAAAATGATGATGAGCAGGAAGATGACACAGCCAGCACCAACAGCCGCAAACAATGCCACCTTGGAATTGAAGAAGCTGTCAGGGTCCCCACTGCTGCTGCCACCACTTGCACCTGGGCCACTCTTCTCTTCCTGGTTCACAGTCTCTGAGGAAGGGAAAGGGGGGGTTGGAATGTTCAGCCAGGGGTCCCAGGGAGACATGCCAGATCTTCAGAGATATGGCTGACAGGGAGACTGAGCATTGGCTTCTGCCCTTTGTGAAACACTTATACACTCACCATGCTTCCCATCAGAGTCCCCTAGGGGGCCTCGACCACGAGGAGCCTGTGTGGCCATCAAGACAGTGTTGTCTGCCTCCTTGCTGGGCCAGCTGGTAGTCAGCTGCTCAGGTGTCACAGCATTGGGATCTGGGGGTAGGGAGAGGACAGGTGAGAGGGAGAGACTGCTGGTGCTCTTGATGATCTAGGGTAGGCCAAGAATGGCCTGTAAACTGGAACTCAGATTCTCTAACCCCATTGCCCCTTCCTCACTCCCAACACACACACACCCAGTGAGGAACACCTGTTCTAAAGGCCTAACTGGGGATCTCTCAGACTGGGCACTCACCTTGCCCAACCTTCATGATGATCTTCATGGTGCGTGTACGGCACACACCTCCCTCCCGGTTCTCCAGCCCCTCTAGGCTCCCATTGGATGTAGCTGCAGGAAGAGGCCAAATAAATCAGGGGAAGGAAAAGGTCTGTCAGCATTCCCCAGAAACCCTAGTGCTGCCTCAGCCAATAATAGCGATAGAACTGGGAGTGGGGGAGTGGCAAGCAGCTCTTACCTACCTGTGAACCATTCTACTTCCCTCCCTCCCACTAGGAACAGAGTAGCATAGCTCAGCCCAGCCGGGGCCAAGCTCCTCCCCCAAGGGCATTGCTTCTCTCATGACCAGGCCTTGGTTCCTGTTCCTCAGTGGCAACAATAAGGTGTGTCTTCTCATTGGGCGATGTTGCTCAGAGGCAAAGCAATTAGAACTGGCATTATGAGGGAAGCTTCTATGTAGACTGGAAGGAATCCTGGATTACGGGTCAGGAGATCTGGGTCGGAGTCCCAGTCTGTCCCTAACCCCCTGTGTGATCTAGAGCAAGAAGCCCTTTCACCTCTTGGAGCCTCCCTGAATTTCCCATGAGAAAAAAGGCTGAACAGCTAGCTGATCTCAAAGGGCTCTGCCAACTCTGCCATTCCCAAGATTAGATCCTAGGTGGGCAAAGAAAATAAGAGAGAAAGCAACAAGAATTGGAGTCTTCTTCCACCTAACTCCTGGAGTGCCAAGGCAAGTTGGCAGTGGGCCCCCTGGGGGGTGTTGGGGCCAAGATTCCAAGGCCAGACTGGGAGGAAAGCATGCCAGTCTTCAAAGATGAGATCAGGCAGGACCTTAACTGTGTGCACTATCATTGTACTACTTAGAAGCTCCCACTACTACAGGATATAAGAGAGTTAAGCCCAGGGAGAGAATCACATGGTGGACAGGGACTCACAGGTAATATAGTAATCATGGTGCTTCTTGAACTCCAGGCCCATGTAGTTGGGGCTGAACTCCTGGAACTTAATGGTGAAACGGATTTCCTGCTCTGGTCTGTTGCAGGTGACCAGCACATTGGGGTCGAGCACGGTGCTGCAGGCAGCTGCCTGTTCAGGCCGCACCAAGTATAGCTTATAGTACTCGTAGGGCCGCCCTGCTTCTGCTCGGGGGCAGATGATGTCCAGCTTGTCTCCAATCTTCGGGTAGATCACCAGGCCCTTCCCACTCAGGAACCTGCCCAGAAAGGAGGAGATGGTCAGCCCCAGGGTTGGGGGCCCAGGCCATCCCAGAAGCAGGGGAGCAGACAATGAGGGCCAGGCTGGGCCTACTGGGTGGAGATGGCGACAGTAGGCATTCTGCCCTTCCTCCAACCTTAGGCTGGTGGGGGTGGGGAGAGAGAACCACACTGCCAGCAGGGTGTGGAAGGGGTGGCCTATGGGCAAGGCTGCCAGGCTTTGACTGCTTGGCAGGGTGGGGCACTGCCTAGCTGGGAGAGCCCTTTGTCCTAATGTGGTATTTCCGCAGGGGGCTGACGTGGCCAGTGGGCTGGGTACCAAGGTGTCAGGCCTGGGCTGCCTGAAGGTGGCAGCATCCCCTGTTCTCCCTCCCCCAACATACTCACATTCCTGCACACACAGCTGCTGCCACCACCTCCCCTACACACACACACACACACACACACACACACACACACACAGCAAGCCCACACATGCCTTAGCCACCACCCCCGCAGCTCCCAGCCAAGGCTAGGGGAGCTCAACCTGTCTAGGACCCATGCCTTCCTTGCTAATCTTGGGTATGATGAGCAAGATAGGAACAGGCATTGCCTGGAGCCAAGGGATGATAAGTACAATCTCTGGCCAGGTACAGCTCCACACGGCTCTCCCTACTTCCACTGTGCAGTATTCTACCAGTGACCCACCCCACCCCACCCCCACAATGTAAGAGCCTGAATCCCCAAACTTGATCAGCTCACTCTTAAGAACAGAGGGGAGAAGGGGTCCAGCTAGGGACAACAGACCATGTATGATAGGGCTTCAGGAACCCCACTTATCTGGATTCCAATCTCCCTACTGCCACGCTGCTCCTACCACATGTTCTGAGAGAAGATGGACAAATGCCTTCTGGGCCAGGTTCATGTTCTAATCCAGAAGACCAGGAACTGGGAGAAAGCAGGGGCAGGGCAGCTTCCCAGGGCCACCTATTTATATGCTCCTCTCCTTATCTAAGCCCACAGTAAGAAAGGGCACAGGTGGTAATCTACTGGTCATTTCTGATCCTGGGAAGGTTGGAGCTGATAGCAAGGCAGTACCATGTAGAGGAAAAGACATAGACTTTAGAATCAGACATACCTGGCCTTTACTAGCTTTGCCACCTTGGATGAGCTACCTGACCTCTCTGAGCTTCAGTTTCCTCACTTGTGAACCAGGCATGGTAAGAGCCCCTACCTCCCAGGAGGGTAGATGAGATAGCACACACAGAGCACATAGCGCGTAGTAGGCACTCAACATGTGTGACTCCTCCTTAGTCTGTCAAGAAACAGGAGGCCAGATACTAACATTAAGTACCTATGAGCCCAGTGTTGTTTCTTGGAGGGAAAATCGGGAGAGAAGATATAGCCTCATCCTTGAGGAGTTTACCACCTGGTTTGGGTCAGAAAAGTAAATGGTTCACACTCCAGCAAGAGACAGCACAAGGTTATCTGTAGGTTATGTGTGAGGATGGTGGTTCAAACAGCAAGCACTGGAGAGAAGAGACAGCTCATCTGACCAGGATGGTCAGGGATGGTTCCACAGAAAGGGCTGGATGAAAGTGGGTCCTGGGTGAGGAATAAAAAGTCAACACAGAGTAAGAGTGGACAGCATTGTCTAGGACACAAAACCTAGGCCAGTAATTTGTCCAGCTTGGCTGGGGGTGGGTAGAGAGGAACAGAAGAAAAGATCAGCTGGGACCAGATTGAAAGACCTCAAGGATCACAATAAGCAGTGGGTTACATCCTATTGGTGACAAACTCTCAAGCAAGAAGGAAAATGAAGGGCTAAATGCAGTGCTTAAAGAGAATGAAGCTGACAGTGTCGGACAGGCTCTGCCGGTGAAGAGCACCAGTTCAGGGGCTACTGCAATAATCTGGGAATAGAGTGATTCCAGTTCCTGAGGGCCCACTATACAGTGGGTACTACAAGCAATGAGGACCTATTGTGAGCTCTGAGCCAATGCCTCTGCAGTGCCACACCTCAGTGTCCTTACCCTAGAGAGGAAAATGATACCCAGGTGGGAGAGTGAGGGAACTAGACCAAGAAGATGAAGTAGATGAAGAAAAGCAGCCCTCCCTTCAGGTCAGGTGAGGCTCCACCAATCTGGGACCTACCTAGGACCATCTTGGTGTGCAGGAGGGTAAAAGCCAAAACGAGAAGGTCTTCTCCTCTTGGAACCTAACTTTACCCCACTCCAGAGGGCCAGAAAGGAAGCAGGCATGGAATGGAGGCCCATATAAACATTTGAGAGGGAACGCACCCACACATATGCCATAAAAAGCCAACAAGTTTCACCAAAGCCTGTATAATTCCCAAAGCATTTTTCACTTTCCAGTCCTCACACTGGTTCCATCCAGATAGCAGTATCAAACTTCTAACATCTTAGAGCCAGAGGGAACCACAGAGACTCACTGAGTCCAGGCCCCTTATGGGAGGGAATGGATGATCAGATGAATGTTCCCATTGAAGAGAGATGCTCAATGTCAACTCCACAGACTTAAATCCACCCAGGACGTTAACCCCTACGGGTCTAACAGGCTGAGTCCTTATACAGTTGCACCTCAGCAAGGCTCCACCTGGAGGTGACAGCAGGTACACAGACGGCATGAAAGGGGCATAGGCCAGCTTGCCTTTCTAACCACTTGGCCCTGGCTTAATCACCGAGAAGGGAGTCTTGCCTGCCCTGAGCTCCGTCTCCCATCACCATCTGTACCCTGGAATTGGAACACAGGGCTTCTACCTTTAACCCAGAGACACTGAGGAAACAGATGTCTATATAGTAGGTGGGGGAGGGGGAAGGAAAGGACTATTCCCCCTAACACCCCTCAGACTCTCTTCAACCTCAGTGAACAGTGACTTCATAAATATTTATTAGTTAATTTGCATAGCAGCTGGCAGAGGGAAACTCACCTTCCACTTAAGTACAATGGCCATGCAGAAGGAGAGGAGCCTGATGAGACCCACCTTCCCTGACCCTAATCTACCATAATGGTGCCTTCTTAGCATCTTACCCCACCACTGGGAAAACTGCGTCTTGGCCTGTGAGAAGCCCAAGAAAGTGGAGAGGGGCTATGAGAGGGGAGTTTGAAGCCAGTGAGAGTAGAACTTGAAGCCAGGTACAACACTATTCAGACTGTACATAGGGAACTTATAGATCTCCCTTCTACTTACTCACCAGGTCAGGAGTAGGGGTTGGAGAGAAGGAGGAAGAGATTGTCCTCAGGTTAAACTCTTTATTTCAAAAATTACTCTCCCCACTATCAAACCAAGTTTTCCTGCCTGGGGCCACCCCCAGACAAAGCCCTTTTCTGGAAAATAAGGGGATTGACAAGGCCCAGCAGGAAGCCTGAAGCAGGTCGCCATGGTAACCCCTGAGGCTTTCCCTCCCTAGCCTCTGATAACCCTGGGACCCCAGGGAGTGAAATGACTGGGGCGGGGTGGGGGGAGCCTGAGCTGTTACCACTCCTGTTTTGTGACCTGCCTCCTCCCCTCCACCATAGCCCAAGTCCCTTCTTCAGCCTTTCTACTAAGCTTAGAAGTACTGCCATAACTGCTGAAAGGAATCCTGGGATGTGAAAGCCCAAAAGGTGTGGAGCAGCAATCCAAGGCCCTGGACTGATCAGAGGCCAACTGACCCCCGAGGCTTCTCTTATCCAGCTGAGTCCCTCCCCACCCATATATATATTATCTACATGGGAGAGAACTTGCAGCTATGGGGGGGATGTCCAGAAAGCTACCTATATTTGCCCAAGTCTACACTTCCTTCTCTCACACCCTTCCCTCAGGCTCTAGAAACTGTGGTCAAAGAGTAGCCAAAGGAGGAACTTGGTTCCAGGCCATGAAAGTCCAAGTTTGGTAGAAGACTCTAGCCATGACCTTGACTTGGTAACCGCACCACCACTGCGCCTGCACCCCCAAGCCCAAGCCAGAGCTCAAGTCTGCTCTCATCCCAGCTAGGGTGGGGAGCCCCCGAATTAAAGGTTCCTCTTCACTCCACCAGCTCCACCCAGCCCTCGAGGCGGCAGGAGCAGGCCTGGCATGTCCTAGCAGTGCCCGCCCAGGCGTGGGTGGGCAGGAGCAGCAGCTGGGTCCTGGCACACACACAGCACTGTCGGAAGCAGGGAAGCCAAGAGAGTCCCAGAGGAAGTCACCCTCCCCACCTATGCTGATCTATGCCCTTCCTTCTGTCCCACTTGGCCAAAGGTAGTGTCCACTGGGGGCTTAACACCTCCCTCTCCGTTGTCTGCTTTCTGCAGGGTCCCTGAGAGAAAGTGAGATTCCTGGCCCAGACAGGAACCAAAGGTGCTACTCAAAGCTCAGGAAGGAGAGTGCCAGGCAGCAAGTTGACTGCCTTTAGCTCAGGACAGTAGAGTAGACTGCCCTAGGAGGTTGGCCAAAGAAAGTCAAATGAGGAAGCCAGAGCACTGCTCACCCCACACAGGCAGGACCTGAGCCACAAGGACAGATGCACATACACACCTGTGACGTGAGAGGGGAACCCAGCGGCAGGGAGCAAGTGCCTCTTCCCAAACCCCACCTTTAATTCCCATCTCTCCTAGATTCCATGGCAGCAGGATGACCTGGAAAGAATGGCACATATCACAGCTCTTCCCCTACGAGCTCACTAACCTTAGATAAGTCACTTCCCTTTTCTGGGCATATGCCTCCTCATCTGGAAAATGGGGCAATGTCTACTTCCCAGGGCTATTGGGAGCATCCAGTGAGATCATATACAAGAATGCTTTGTAAGTAGCAAGGTGTTGCCTGACTTAGCACACCAACCACAGTACCATTTAGAAGAAAGAAGCTGAAGGAGGTTACGCTCCTGGCTGTTAGCACTCCCACCCAAAACTACCACCATGACAACACACCCAGGAGGGGTTGCTATGGTCCATGAGGCAATGAACTCAGAATGTGGCTGATGAGCATCCTCCCCTCACCTCAACTCCCCTAATAATCACAGGGTAAACCCTCCCCCAAACCTAATGCTTCCATGGCAATCAGTGGCCTCCTGGCTGGCCCACCCTCCCCATAATCCCAGCCCCTGAAAACAGTAATGCACAGTGTCCAGGGCCTGCCCATCGCCATCCACCTGAGCTGGTGATGCCACGGAGAGCGCAGAGGGGAGTAAGGGGACGCTGTATTCAGCCCACAAACCAGTCTCCCAGGCCCTACTTGCTCCTGCCCAGAAGCCTGGGGTGAGAGTGGAGAGGAAGAGGAACAGGGAACTTTAGGAGCTGCTGGGTTCCCATCACTCTCAGGCCTCCACCTGCGGCCAATCAGCCACAGAGTAGAAGAGGTCAGGTCCCTTGCCGCCCTGGAACCCTGAACTGGCCTCCCCAGGACTCTGAGTTGGAACAGCTGTGAGGGGGCTGGGGCCAGCATTTTCACTTGTAGCAGTCAAGCATGGGTTAGGGTCTGCAGCTGCCCCCATTCATGCTGGAGTCAAGGGTCCTGGCTCTGAGCTGAAAAGCTCACCCCCAACCCCCTTGTAGGGAAGGTGTAATGTGATCTCAGGCACATTCCCACTCCCTGGAGGTGGGGGAACCTGAGTGGGGGGCAGGAAGAGGTCAGCACAAGACTGAGAGACTGAACTGCAGCAGCTGGACTTGGCTGAGGACTCAAGTGTGAGCCCGGCCGGCTTCCCTGAGCACCCTGGGGAAAGAGGCTGGGGGAGGGGGCTGCCCTGGGACCACTCTGCTCATAGCCCCCTCCTCAACCCCCACCCAGATGCGTGCGCACACACACACGCACACACACACGCACACACACACGCACACACACACGCACACACCCTGGTTCCTACCAACCTCTAGCCGGACCAAACCCACATCCCCACCCTGCACTCATGGAGCAAATCTGACAGGAGGGGGCCAAGGAAGCAGAAGCTCTTAACACTCAAGGACTACCATCCTGGAAGGCCCCAGCATCTCCTTGGAAAAGAGGCTGGGAGTCTTAAGTTGGCCCTTCCAGCCCCCCACCCCCCAGTCAGGGCTGGGGCTGTATGCACTCTGGAACCTGGAAGCATATCCCTAGCCCCACCACTTCTTTATTTTGATTTTTCCCCCAAGGAGGAAGCAATAAGGCAGGGTTTATAGGCGCTGGGAGATTTGGGGGGGGGGCGGTTTGCCAGCTCCTGACAGGGCTGAGGAGAGAGACCAAAAGCTGGGAGGAAGAGGGGAGGGAAGAGAGAAAATGAGCCTGTGAGGGAGAGCAGGGGCATGTGCAAGAAACAAAAGGACTTGAGAAAAAGAGGCAGAGAGTGACTAAGAGTGAGAGGGAGTATGAGAAAGAGGAAGAGCAGTCAAGCCTAGCTGGAGAGGGGAGGTGAGCACAGCTCACAGAGGGTGTGAGAGGGCGAACCCAAAGGGTCTGAGAGGCAGCAGGCAGAGAGAGAGAAAGAGAATGTTATTTGAAAGGCTGTGGCAGCCTGAGGGTTGGGCACAGTGGCAGAGGCAGCCCCCAGAGCTGGAGTCCAGCTGAGGGCAGTGCCTCTCTCCTGTCCTCCTGCTCTCCCCGAGTAGCCCCTCAGCCACCCCCACCCCCGCCAACACACAGACCGTGGCTGCATTCCAGACCCGAGCATAGACGATGGAACTTTGGGGGGAGGGCAGTGCTGGGGGCACCAAGATCAGTCCCTGACCATTCCCAGGATCTGCTCAATTACAGGATGGAATTCATGCAGGTCCTAGTGAGTTCCCAGCCCCCCTCCCCAGGATGCCTGCCCCCAGCTTGAGGTTGATGGAGAGGAACAAATGAGTACAACCTCCAAAAACCTGTAAACCAGTCCAGAACTTTAAAGGTTCAGGACACAAAAAGGGGGAAGCTCAGACAGCTCTTGTTTCTCCCAACCCTCCCCCCACCCCCCACACTCTGCAGGAGGGCTCCTTTCCAGATGTGGAGCTGTGTGCTATCTCTGGTTAGAGACCCGAGAGAGTAATTAGGTCACTCCCATGAGCCCCTATGACGGGCAACCCCAGGCAGATTTCTGCTCTCTTTGCTCAAGAGAGCGCATTTCTAGCCTCCACCCTTACAGGGGGGATCTGGGCACTTCACAACCTTCCCCCTATTCCCCCCTCCCGCCAGGGGCTGAGTGGCCCTGGGCCCCAGGCCATTTTGAGTCTTTGCTGTTAGGAGAATGCTATACTCAGCTTGGCTTTTTGATAGGGGAGAAATTCTTGCCAATCCCTTTCCTCGCACAGAGGCAGAGTCCCCTAACCTGACCCTGGTTTAGCCATCCCACTGACCACCAATACTGGGACCCTACCTTAACCCAAGGAGAACTAAAAAAGCCACCTTCTCCCACTCCAAGGCTAAGAGACGCACCATCTCTGGGACCCAAAAGGCCAAGGCAGGCAGAAGCCCAGGAAGTTAGCGAGGAGTCCAGTAAGAGTGGACAGGAAGGGATTTCAGACACAGGATTCGGAAAGCACAGACAGGACAGGCCAAAGCCCCCAGTTTCCCGCTAAGTGGGGGGTGTCACACACTGTCAGATGACAGGGAGAAAGAGCGATTTTGACCCTGGGCTCCAACCTGAGTCCTAGATGACAAAAGAGAAAAAGGTCCTGAGGTCACCACAACAGCCCCAACGACTCCCTACTAAGAGCCCAGAAACCACTGAGCCACCGCCCTTAAAAGGTGTGTGTTGTTGGAGGGGGGGGCAGTGAAGCGGAAGGAGGAAGAAAAGAGATGATCTCTATATAGCTGTCCCCCAACCCCTGGGGGAAAACCAAGCACAGCTCCCCAATCTAGGGGACATGGCGGGGGGACGGGCAACGGACCCGCCTGGGCAGGAATCGCTCCTCTCCACCCACCTCCCTCGCCAGCTTGGCCAGCACTCTCCCAGGCGGGCCCTGGAAGCTCTACCGGCGGCTCCACTGGACCCCCGACGAGCGGTAGATCGACACCCCCCAGCCCCTGCAACAACCTCTCTCCCACTCCGCCCCTCTCCGCCCGCCGCCTTTGTGATCCTGGGAGCGGCGCCCGCCTTTCCACCGCCCGGGCTGGGAGAAAAGGCGCGCGGGGGGCGGGGGGGTGGTGGCGCAAGAAGAGACGGCAAAAGCGAAAAGCCAGGGACGGAGGCAAACAGACAGGGAAGAAAGAAAAATGAAAATGGGAGAAGCTGGAGTGCGGATATAGGCGCTGCCCACCCGGCCCAAGCGCCGGGTCCCGCACCGCATTCCCTCCATAGCTAAGCAAACCAGGAACCTGTGTTCCTGCCTTGTCCCCCGCCCAGGTCAAGCTCGACCCGGGAGCGGCTCTTGGCGAAGACCGCCACGTTTCCAGGGGCCCCCAGAGAGGGCTGCGTTCTCGCCCCCACCCAACTCTCGGGTGTGTTCTCAAGCGCCCGGACTCCCCTGTTCCGCCTGGAGCGTCCATTTCGACTTTATCTGGGACGCGCAGAGGTGAGGGCCGGGAAGTCGAGGGGTCACAATCCCGCCAAGTGTCCCCACCCCACTCCGGCGCACCCTGCCCCGCCTGCCCGCAGGAAAACACACTCAAAAAAGCAAAAGACAAAATGGGGCGCCGCTCCTCCTCCGAAACCTCCCCACACGCACTCGGGGGCGCGCGGCCTCACCCCGAAGGAGTGCCTCCCATGGCCGGGGACCACAGCGGTTAAGTTACTCACTTGGGGTTGAGAGAGCTCCAGGACACAGGCTCCAGGTTCTTAGCCAGTGGCGTGGCAAGTCGGCACAGCGCCAATACGACCATCGCCACATGCCATTTGCCAAGCCAACGCTGCCCAGGCCGGGCCATCTTCCCGGGGGCAGACTGCACTTCGGGAAGCCCTGGCGCCTCCTCAGCAAAGCTCGCCTCGTCTTCCCGTGCAGCGCAGCGCTCGGAGCCACTCAGGCTCCCATCCTCCGCAGCCACCGGCCTTGAAATGCTCCCCTCCTTCCGGCTTTGGTGTCGTTCTTCTCCGCCCGGCCGGCCAGGAGGACTCACTGGGCAACCGCCCCCAACCCGGGCATGGGCTGCGGCCTCCACGGGCTCGCTCCCCTGGCCTTTCCGACGCACGAGGCGCGACGGGGGCTCTGCGCCCCCGGGTGATCCCGGCCGATTCCGCTCGGCTCCCCAAGACTGTTCTGGACTGCGCGCCCTCTCCCCGAAGGGGTATCCCCGCTGAGGACTCGGTGGCCGCCCCGACGCCTCGACCGTCCTGGGACCGGCGCCCCTGAGAAGAAGTGGTGGTCTCCCCGAAACACGAGCTCGGTCCCTGGGCTCCCGACTGGGTCGCCCTGGCACGGGCTCCGTTCCTCCGGGCCACACTGGGACTCTGGGCTGAGCCCCCCACCCCACCCCACCCCCGACAGCTTCTACTTCAGCGCGGGTCCCGCTCGGTATTCTCAGAAGAGTGGATGGGACGCTGTCGCTGCCGATCGAGCCAGTCCCATCAGTTTGCACCTCTGAAGCCTCAGCCGGATAGCCCGGCAGCCCCGTTGCCAAGTCCTAGTTAGCCGGCGATTGTGTCCGAGGGTCTGCGGTCAGTGCGAGCCTTACACACCTCCCACTGCTGTCCAGCGCACATAGACTCTGGGCTGCCGCTAAACTGTCTACTCCCCTGCTCAGGCGATCGCAAGGCCAGCCCTGCTCCTCTTAGCCAATAGAAAGCTCCATGGCGGGGTCCTTTCCTCGTACCACGCCCCCAGAATGGGAAGGGGGCGGAGTTTCGGGGAGCTCTTAAGGACGCCGCGTTCTCGATGGCAGTAATCGGAGTGTGTGGCTCCTGTGGTTACACTTGGGTCCTGCCTAGTCCTGTCCCCAGAGCGCTCAGCCCGTGGGAAGCTGGCGCTCTTCTACAGTGGCCAAACTGCTCTCTTTCTTCCCCCACTGACACACACACATACAGACACACAGACACACACCCTGAAGTCCTCAAGTCCTGGTCTGTGCCTGTGCCGACCTCCATGGCAAGAATAGCCTGCCTGCTCCCCATCCTGCTGTCTCACATAGGGCTCTAGTGGGTTTTCCTCCTTCTGCCCTGGCAATGCAGTGTCCGATGGCACTTGGACCCGGAGTCCCGGGGCTATGGTGGGTGGTGGAGACTCAGAGGGGTCGAGTACGGTATCCGGAGGGGAAGGTGAGTTCTTTGCGCCTAGAGATGAGGCCTTCGGGATTTCAACTTCGGGGAGAGCCTTGTGGGATCCCTGGAACCCAGATTTAGAGTCTGTCCTGTTTGAAAGCGTGGGCAAGGCCCCGGGATAAGTAAGCGGGAATGAACGAGCACCTCGATAAAGAAAGACACCTCGAGGGCAAAGCGCTTTTTGAAAAAGCAATAGCAGGAGCCCTGGCCCCGAGACGCTGGACTCCAGCCCCTCCCGGCCCCACCATCCGAGTCTTTGTCTCCCAGCCCTGGCCCATTCTCCCCGCCCCTCCTCGCTTACTTGCTTATGTCTTGGCTCCATCCCATAGCTCAGACCCTCCCGGTCAGACCCGCTCTCCTTAGTCGGATCCCAGCAGATGTACCCATGTGCTTATGTCTCCCTCTACTGGTCGACCGTAGCACTGCGGGCGCCTGGGCCGAGCTGGAAGCTCCCACTGGAAAAGGAGCACGGCATACACAAGCCTGGCACACGCCTTGAACACAAGACCTGGGACAGGCATGTCTTGGACAAAACCCGGGGCCCTGCATGAGGAGAAAAAGAAGGAATGAGGAGGAAGATCTGGGTTTGGGGTTGACTTCCAAGGATATACAGTGTCCTTGCTGCTTCTTTATGGATCACATTCCGCAAAGTACTGTTTACACACAGTTTCATGTCCATTAGCTCACTTAAGTAGGAGGCTGAGCTACTGGATCCTCTAATGGCTTTGTGACTGGAGAGTGGACCTTTTCTGGGGGAAAAATAAAAAGCGACAAACTGGATCCTCCTCCTACCTTCAGGGACAGGGCCTGGAGGCTGAGATGGATCCAGGTAGAGAGGGAAGACGTGGAGCTATCCGGGTCTCTCAGCTCCTTGCTGGACCCCACATTCAGATGTGAGAAAAGAAACATGAGAACAAGGTGCAAGGACACACCACTGGTCTAGCTGGGAGACTAGGATCCCTGAAGTGCATGCTAGGACATCAAAACCTGAAGATGGAAAGGAACCTGCCATTTACCAAGTGCCTACTATGTGCCAAGAACCATGTTAGATGCTTTTTCTTTCATGGCCCTTTGAGATGAGTTCCACTGTCCCCCTATTACATAAGGGGGACTCATCTGAGGTCACCAAGCCTGTCTGTAAAGGCCATGCCCGTTCCCTTATATCACACTGGCTTGCCACATTTGCAGCCCCTCCTTGCTTACTTGGTTCATTCCTAGTTAAAAGCTGGTTCATGCCCAAACAGCAATATTCTTCAGGATGGCCAGGACTCTACTCTTCACCCAAAGTCTTCTAAGAGGTTACTAGGCCTGGAAAAGTCCATCTTTATTCTTGGTTGAATCCTAAAGTCCTGCTCAGCTCCAGAACCTGCTCAGCTCCTCCAACCCCAGAACTAGTCTTGGATTCTTCCTCCCTAAGGCAAACATGCCCAGTGCTCCTGAGGGGAGAACACAAGACCTGGTAGAAGATGGGAAAGATAAGGCTACAATGCCAGACTTGGGAAACCTGTGAAGACAGAAGCAATTTCTGAGTGTGTCAATATCTAATTCTGGGTAGTGGGGGGTGGCAGCAGAAGAAAAAATGAGAGGATGCCTTTTGTCCAGGCCTGTTCCACATTCTGGTCACCCCTGATCACCCCTTTCTGCCCCAGCCTGCCTACGCCAGCTACAGGGGCCTACTTCCTGCCACAGCTAGCACCCGTCATTCCAGGCCCTGTGACTACAGGCCCCAACTTCTTGTCCTACTCTGGCAGGGCCTCAGATTAAGTAATTCAGGCCTCTGAGATAGGGAAAAGTTACTCCCCAGGGGAGCCTGAGAGGAAGTCAGGATCTATGGGGGATGTGGGCCCTCCCCTGCTCCACTTGAAGTCAGGCCATTCCCCGCAAGCCTCCCAGATCACTGTGTCACCATTCACACACACACACACGCACACACACACACACACACACAATTCGAATCCACCAGCATTTCCTGAGCACTGATTCTGTGCTGGCCTCTAAGTGGGGCCGGCCCTGGTGACTCAGAGAAGAGCCTCATCCAGTTCTATCCTCAAGGAGCTCCCAGTCTGGTGGGGACAGGCAGGCATGTGCAAAGCTCATGAAAATCCAAAATCAACCCAGATCAGTATGTGGAAGCCTCCTAGGCCCGGGAATGCAGTGGAACATCTGGCAGCTGCAGGAGGCTTCAGACACCACGTAGCCACCATAGAGCTACAGACCAGCTCCTTCTGAGTTCAGGTTCCCACACCCATGGGAGACAGGGAGGTATAAACTTCAGAGCCACATATTTCACTACTTATCATCTGTATCACCTTCAGCAAGTCACTTAGCCTCTGTGTGCCTCAGTTAACTTGTCTGTAACCTGGAGGTCATCCCTCTTGCGCAGAGCTTTGGTGAGGAGTGAATGAGATAATGCACATGAAGGGCTTAGCATCATGCCTGGCCCACCACGTGCTTACTAAACAGAAACTATGATTCTTCCATAGAGTCTCCCACAGAGGCACCCTCATCCTCAGTCATGTGTTCTCACCTGTTCACACATGCTTTGTGTGCCATGTGCCCATTTTTATCTCCTTTTTTGGATACTCTCACACTCGTATTCTCTCTCTCTCACACACACACATATTCACACACAAACTCTCATTTTTTTCACCTATTCAGCACCGGGTGGAAGACCTGGTTCCTGCCCTTGTGCAACTTAGAATCAAACCCCCCACATTTTCCCATGGCCACTGTCGTACACACTTGTGCACGAATGCACACACATGCCCTCTCTATTTCTGAGGGCCTGATCCTTGACCTCTTCCTGAATGCCTTGCACTCTGAGTCACAGAAAAGGTGAAGTAATTCACCCAAGGCCATGTAGCTAGAAAGTGGAAGAGTCAGAATTCAAATTTAGGCCATCTGGCTCCACACCTTGAGCTTCTACTCATGACTTTATGTTGCTATCCCAGGGCTCTGGAAAGGAGTGTGTGCCAAGATGTAGGCCTTGATGAGCCACCAGACCCAGCTAGAGCAAATATTTGCAAAAGCGAACTGAAGAGTCTGGGAACAGGAATCTTAACCCGAGGCCCAGGGTAATGCCAACTGGGACAACCCAGTGAGCCTAACATCCCTCTCCCCTATCTACAGTCCTCTATGGCCTGCCCTATCCCTCCTGTCTGTCACCTAGAATATCCACAGCCTCTGCCTTCACCCTCCTCACGGGTACACATATCCATTCCCTACAGGGCAAGGGAAGGCTACCATTTCTTGAACACCCACTGTATGTCAGGCACCATAGACAGATAGGTGCTTTTACCTCTGGTGCTATATTATCTTGGTTTAAGCCACACAACATACCTGAAGTTGATATTGATAGGCCTATTTTAGAGATGAGAAAACTGAGGCTCCAAGTTCAACCTGGCTACATTCGCTGCCTTTGCCAACCTCAGCTTGCAAATCCCCTCTCTCGCCCAGCTGGCTTATTTCTACCATCCCACCTTTCCTGTTCTTTCTCTGCCCCCACTGCCTCCTAGCTGAGACTAGCTGGGGTCTGTGTTGGGCCCAGGTACCCTCTTGCCCCCAGGAGTACTTTGCTTTTTCCAAGCCACTCTATCTCTGAGTCAGTCTTACGGCAAACCTTGGGTGTGTCCTGAACCCTCTCACTCTTCCTCCTCCCTCCATCCTGACTGCACCACACCTCAGGGCTAACTCAGATCAAGCCCCAGATGGGTAAGCCCTGGAAGTCTTATTTCACTGCAGTCATGACAATTCCCAGTGGCTAAGGAAAGAGGGGTGGTCCCAAAGGCCAAAGGTTCAACCAGATGCTCTACCCCTAGCCCCTCCCCAGTCCCTGCTCCAGCTGCATGCCTGGTTTATGGGTGTTTGAACTGAGATCACCTTGATCTGCCAGGTGCCAGGCTGGCCCTGGTTCAGGCTGTTGGCAGATGATGCCAGAGATGAGTCCCCTCTCCCTGAGATAGGCCTGTTTCCCCTCAGTCCTTCTTTCTTTCTCCCCTCCTCATGCCCCTTTACCCCTATCCTGGACTCCTGGAAATCTTTCCCAAACCCTCAGGCCTCATACAGGCAAATGGACTGCCCTCTGGCACCAAAAAGAGCCTGGAACAGGGCATCTGAGAGCCAGAACATAGCTTGGTGTGGCATAGAAGGTGGCATGAGGCTTTGCACTGCAAATAGGACCCTAGATTC